TCTAAAAGTCAACGGGGATTTAGAATGTGTTTGTGGTTAGACTCCTGAAATAAGGTCTGTGGTTAACACAAGCTGAAGAGATGTTGGTGTTTGTTAGAGCATAAACTACGTTAGGTAATACCTCCACTTGTGAAGTTTGAAGTTTTTACTCGTCTTTAAAAAGGCGGTTGCTAACAAGCGGCTAAATGTGCTACAGTTTGTCGGGGACCATTAAAGGTCATCAGCCGGACACAGAGGGCGGGAACTCTCTCACTAGTCGGAGATGTCTCCTGTAGGTTTAATCTTTAAGGTTAAGGTCAATATTATGTTAGTAAACTATTTATTAAACTACGTGGATTAGTTTATCGGAGATCGTCTGAAGCATAACGCTAGTGATGTCACAATCATCCGTGGTGTAGTTAGCTTTAGCATAACGTTAGCTTCTTACTTCTGTCGGCCGCATTAACTCTTCAAACATCATAAAAATGGCGTTCATCTGTGAAGATTATCCTGCTGAACAAAACGCCTACGCTTCAGAAACGTGTGTTTACCACAGAGATTATTTTCTGCAATGATCCAAAATCCAATGAAAACATCCCAGAGGAGGATTAGACCCCATGGGCGATGCTACTTCAGGGTTGGACTACAAAATACGTCATGTGGTTTGTTCTGTATTGAAGCCACACATTTCAGCCCGTTGACTACATAACGTGAAGTAGGTTTTGATGATATTATGGGGTAATATATTTATAAAATTTGATGTTTGGTATTAATACGATTTGGAAGATTTCCAAAATTTCCCAAGCTTAACTTCCCGTTGAAAGCTTCTGGAAAATTTTCTCCCCTTTTGCAAACCCTACACACACCTGCTGTTTGTAGTAACGAGATCTCACCGAAACCAACGTGATCAAACGTGACTTCAGAAGAATTCATTTCAGCGGTTACTACGACAACCTGACTGCGGAGAGCGCAACATCTGCAAAGAGGATGCTGCTCTGTCGAGACTCAGACAACTTCATACTTCATCAGTTTCAACGTAGTGAAACCTACGACTCCTACTCATGTTTCAAAGACAAAGTTGAAAAGAAATGATGAAAGCGATCGTACGAACAAGCTCAGACGTGTCGTTTCCCGCTCTTTTCAGTGGATCCAGCTGATGGATCGGTTTACTCACATCGTAGCCCAGACTCTCAGCCTCATTGGCCACGGTGAGTCCGGCCAGTTCTCCCAGTCCGAGCTCGTTGGAGACCGCCTCGTCCACCCGGCCCAGGATGAACGACTTCCCCGAGGACGGCAGGAAGGTCATGGCTTCTGCGGAGACGTAAAACACAGACAGCTGGGGGGTCAGAGAGTCTCTAAAAACCCTCTAAGACTGAGTGCTGAGTGTTTAATAGGAGACTTTACCCTCTTCAGGACGGCCTTCCTGCTCCAGGCGGGGCACAGCGGGGCGGGAGGGCGGCGTGACGGGCGGCTGCATGGAGGGAAGCTCCTCAGCGTCCCGCAGGTTAGCTAGCATGTCCTGGAGCTTAGAGCGGTTTGGTCCTGGAGGGGGGGGACGAAGAGGACGAGGAGGAGGAGGGGGAACAACGTGAAGGAAAGACGTTTGGGAGACAGAGATGGTAAAGAGAAACGTTAGCAAAATGAGTTTAATCGTCATAAAGAAGAAAATAAAATCAGCACGGAGGATAGAAGAGAAGAGCAGCTCTGCAGAGGATGGAAACAGACGAGAGGACTCTAATAATGTTCACAATCACAATCAGTAATTCTACACACTGTGTTTGTTTTTTTAAATAAGAACTGTCCTCTGTCTTTCCACAAGTGAAAGTGTTTATAGTATATGCCTAGTATTGTTTTATCTCTATTGTAATTTCTTGTTTCATTTAATTAATGTAAATATGTTTGTTTTTTAACTTTTTTCTATTTTTACTAATTACACTACTGTTTTTGAGCTGTTGTAACAAAGAAATTTCCCCCAATGGGGGATCAATAAAGTTTAAATTTATCTTTAGGAAGGAAAATAAATCTGGAGAGTCAGAAAACAGAAAGAAGAAGAAAAGTCTGCAGGAGGAACAGAAACATGGAAAGTCACTGACACAGAAACATGAAGGGTTAATGAAGACATGAATCATGAGGATTCATCAGTGACTGCACTGGACCCAGGGATTCATGTTTTTATGTAAAAGAATGGAAACGAATGATTTACACACAGATGTTCAATAACAGATCAGAATAAAGGGAGATTTATCTTTAGCTCTATGGAGGCCCTGATGGGTCAGTGAGGTAAAAAATAGTCTGGTGATCCATTTGTCTGATCAAACTAGCGTTCTATTTTGTGTTTGTGATAGATTATTTTAAGTAGATTTTTGTGTCTGTTAATATTCTGTAATCTTCTGTTGTTGTTGCAATACTCATTTCAGCCACAAAAGGCTGAACTACTCCATGACATTTAAAGGTCACATATCGTGCAACTCTACATGTGTCTCTAGTCCGTCTACAAACCCTCCAATGATGAGAAAAGTCCATCCTCTCAGTCTTCTGCCTGCTCCACTTTTCAGAAAATGTGTGCTCAAACAGGCCGTTTGGAGATTTTCCCTTCATGACATCACAAAGGGCAGTAGCCCTTCCCCCAGGTGGGTGACACTCCCACAGCTAGGTATTTTGTTCTGCCTCTGAGTCTGCCTTCTCACAGTAAACAATAGGACATGGAGCGAGAAAGCACCGAGTACACACCGAGCCTTCCAGAGAGGGGGCGTGGTCAGACACAGCTCATTTACATATTTAAAGGTACAGACACAGAAACAGCCTGTTCTGAGCAGAGCTAAAATAGAGGGGTTTATAGACATGATCAAATACAGGATCAGAGTGGACTTAGAACAAGAAACTTCACACACATGTTTTGAGGAGCTCTGACACTTATTTAAACTGAAGAAGAGGAGGAGGATATGTCACCTTTAAACGTTTTGCATATTTCAGTGATGGATGAAGTTTTAACTTTTCTTTATGAATAACTTAAACATTTCAATTTTAGTTTTAAGTCACACAAATGAGGTGACATTAAGTGTAATTTATTGTTTTGTGTCTTCACTTGTAAGATGTGCAGAGACAGGACAGAGGATGGACTCAGTAATCAGGGAGAGAGAGAGTGGGGTCTGGCATGCGGGAAAGGAGCCACAGGTCGGATTTGAACCAGGGCTGTCTGCCTGCTTCTCTCTCTGTACATCAGAGAAAGGGAGATGGGGGGGCGAGGGGACAGATTCAGAGGAGGAAAAATAAAATGGAGTGAGGAGAGAGGATGAGCTCCAGGCCTGCGTCAGGACTTACTCTTCACCCCCTTCTTGGACTTGCGCTCCTTCCTGTACTGCTCCTTGAGCTGGGCTATCAGTCCCTGGTCCACGTCCCAGGCCAGCTCACCCAGAGGAGACTGCTCTTCCTTCTCTACAGGCCGGCAGGGGAAGGAGGAGGGGAGGAGGGGAGGAGGGGAGGAGGAGGGGATGAGGGAGGAGGTGAGGTAGAAACTTGTGGTGAGTGCCTGGATGCATTACAAAACATAACTTCACCGTGATGAACAAACTGAGGCAGGCAGGAAGAGGAGGGACGATAGAGTAGGGTTACGTCTGCCTCTTTTGTTATGATGGAGCAATCTGGCTTCGTAAACAAACAATAAATAATCTGAGATTTTCAGAATAAAGTTCTTACGGTGCAAGAATAAAGTTGCAGGATGATAAAGCAGTCATTTGAGTTTACGGTTAAACGCTACGGTTAAATGAGGAATACTTCCTCATTTCAGAGCAGACGATTGGCTGCTCTTTCGGTTATTCCCCTTCAAAATAAAATATTGGTAAAACATAAACTAAATTTCGACTTTTATCTTGAAAAGTTCCAACTTTTTTACGTGGCCCAAATACTCGTATGTCTGCAGCTTTCTCCTTCAAAATAAAATACAGACTTCTCCTAAAGTGAAGCTGGCTGGTTCATTCAAAATAAAATACAGACTTCTCCTAAAGTGAAGCTGCTCCATTGTCCCTTCTGGGCCTCCATATATGTGTGGTGGTGACTGTGTCTGCAGAGTCCTCTGACTGGATTTTACTATTCTGCTTTGTTCTGGTTGACTCAGGACATTTCTGGGCGGAGTTGGTGTGTTTCCTCCAGCCAATTACAGCGCAGCAGGTGAGTTTCGGAGTGGATATAATTCTGCTGCCTCGCCTGTGGGGGGCGTAAGTCTAAAGTCGGTGTAAAACAGCTCCCTCTAGTGGAGACTATAAAGTCTAAACATTCATCTCTGCTTTGAAAATAAAGCCTGGAGATGATGATTTTGCTGCTGTCACTTCTTGAATCTTCAGACAAAAAACAAAAAAAGCCTTCAACTTCAGCCGAGAGCTGAGACGGTGATAAAAATAAACATTGCGTGCAGATGGTCACTGGGTAAAGATGACAAAACATGCAGAAATCACTGAGGGGGAGTCTGCAGGACTGAACACTGCCACGACAACTGCGAGTGGAGACAAAAGGAAGGATCTCATCATCCTTCCTGGTAGCCTGGGGCGAGTGACGCGATGGGTCGAGGAGGTGGCGTAGGTTCAAGAAGAAAAGACTCAGAAATGACAAATCTGTTTCATAAGTGAAACAGCCAAACGCAGGGGCTGCTCCCGCTTTTCCTCTTTAATATGTCCTGTTTGTTCTCTGATGGGAAACAAAACTACTTATCATTTAATAGTTTCATGATTGAAAGATGCAGCTTTTAGAAACGGAAACGTCTTAAACAAAAAATAAAAAAATAACCGTTTTCAGCTCCTCTCAGGCTTCAACACCTCGATAAGAGAGTGAGAGCTGCATTGAGTCAGCACTCCTGTATGACTATCTGGACCGTGAAGTGTTGAGTCACACACTGCGTGGGGTTCGCTTTTTTGTCATTGGCCAAAAACGACATTGAATGTGTTGCTAAGTAACGGTAGGAAAAAAGGGGATTTTGAATAGACTGCGGGGGACGACAGGTCACCAGCTGGAAACTTTATTTTGTCGAGTGTTATTTAGAAAGGAAGTGTGTTGGTGCAGGAGCATCACTGTGCTGGACAGGTTTGTGTTCTGCTTTCACTGTGCTGGACATGACCACCGATGATACACCTGTTACAGGACAGTAAAATAAATTCTACTCCGAATCAGTAGTGAGTTAGGATTTCTTCGTTTTTGTTCAGCTGATATTATATAAACCTCAGTTCAATTTCAGTTAAGTCAAGTTAGCGTCTGTTATTTTAATACATTTTTAACCCCATGTTAAACGCATGGTATGTAAATTCTGCCACCAGGGGGCTCTCAATCAAAAACAATAACAAAAGACGACTTAGAGGATGGCGGGGAATCATGGGACAGATTCTCTCTACTACCCAACGTTTGGGTCCCGACCCACCAGTTGAGAAACACTGTAATATATAGAAAGTACAGTAGGTAATTAAAATCATCTTTTAGTTTGGATCATGTGAAATCGAGTCACGAAACTGCAGTCTTTTGAAGCGGAGTACCACAGGGCACTATATTAGCTCCTCTTAACTTTTCAAATAGTTCCAAAAGAATAAAAGCCTTAAAGTCCTGATCAGTTAATCCCATTAACCCTGATCACAATGTTTTAATGTTCTGCTGACTCACCCCACTCTCCGCTGTCCTCCCCACTCCTGGACTCGGGTGATCCGTCCAGCTCGTCTGGACTCGCCAGGAAATCGAAACCCTTCAGAGCTTCCTCCGTGTCGGGGTCATCGCTGAGGTCTGAGGTCGTGGAGGAAGGTGTAGACGACTGTTTCTTTCGTACCATCTGCTGAACGTTAGGCAAAAAAAAAAGTGAAAGGAGACTCAAAACTTCCTCACTCAGAGTTTAAAAACATCAGGAAATGAATGTCTGATCCACTCAATAATGTGTGCAGAGGAGAAATTCTGCCATAAAAAAATGCATGATGATTTCTTACTTATTCAAATGCAAATGTAGCTAAAAATTGTGCTGCAAATTTTTAAATTTTCTTTTTAAGGACTAGATGATACAATCCGTTGTAACCTGCATTATAACCTAAGATGATGTGAGTGGGGACGATCATGCCTGCTGAGGGTTTCTAGGGAGCGTTGTCTTGGTAAGGGAGATAAAGGGAGGCTACACATCACTGGCATCCACCATGCATCCTAGGTGTTTCGATGACAGGACCTCCAAAGGGCTCATCAGCAACATCTGGCGTCCCAGGTGTGCCCCCCTCTTTTTTACCTCCCTCTACTCACCCTGTTAGGAGGCTAAGGTAGTACCTCTCCTCATTGATGGCCTGCCGTAAGGCCTACTCATGAACCCCCATGTCCTTCAGAAGCCTGGTGGTTGACCAGCCCACAAAGCCTCTGCATCAACCTCAACAGGGCAATCCCTTACTTTCCAGCGGATTCTCTCAGCTTAGATTTCTCGGGGCTTTAGGCTTCCTCCATAGCATCCAATTTAGCGATGCAAAGTGGGGAGGACCAAAGCACAAGATCTGGTCTGGAGGTGTGTTGCGGTAATCTCATCTGATTAAAGCCGTTTACTGCTTACTTATTATTGGATCCTGACACCAATACAAGCTTTCTGCCACTTGCTGGCTCAAAGATAAAGATAAAGATAAGATAAAGATAAAGATAAACTTTATTGATCCTTTATTGTGCATTACAGCAGCTCCAGAAAACAGGGGACGGGAATATACTTATTAAAAATAAAAATAGAAGTTAAAGTGAAGTAACTCGGTCCACCTTGATGCCATGTGCATTCCCTCTATATGAACTTTTCTACTTTTTGAATGTGATTTTTGAAGCCAAGGCATGAGTCAATTTGAACTCCTAAGAATGTTCTCGTGCTCATGTCTTACTGTAGCCAGGTCTAAGATGGTCTTGTCCCTTCCTTCGCTGTCCTCCTCGTCATCATCATCGCTGAACTCTGCTGCGGCGCTCTCTATGAACTTAAAGGCCTCCAACACGGTGGCCGAGTCGGACATGTCCGGTTTACTGGAGGGCGAGAGGAATAGAGACTGAAACTATAAAAGGTGTTACTCCAAAGACGGTCTACATTTAGGGTTCTGTAGTTCTCTCGCCTCCATCTCGTACCTGACCATGCCGCTGTCCTTCAGAGAGGACGGTTCGGTGCCGTTGACCATGGGTTCGGCTTTAGTGTCTGAAGGTTTCTCTCCTGAGTCTCCGGTGAGGCCGAGCAGTGCTCTGACTCTCTGAGACTTCACATCCAGGATGGTGTCTGTGTACCCACCTCCTGCAGGTATCTGAGGACAGACAGGAGGTAGGACACAGGGGATAGAAGACAGAAAGAGGAGATAGGAGACAGGAGACAGAAAGAGGAGACAGGAAACAGGGACAGGAGACAGAAAGAGGAGATAGGAGACAGAGGCAAGAGATAGAAGACAGGAGACAGAGAAAAGACACAGGGGCAAGAGAGAGGAGATGGGGACAAGAGATAGGAGACAGGAGACAGAAAGAGGAGACAGGAGACAGAGAAGGGAGAGAGGAGGAAGGGACAAGAGACGGGGACAGAGATAGGAGACAGGGATAGGAGATAGGAGATAAGGGACAGCGACAGGAAACACAGGGGACAGGAGGCATAAAGAGGAGACAGGAGACAGAAAGAGGAGACAGGAGATAGGAGACAGAGGCAAGAGAAAGAAGAAGGTGACAAGAGATAGGAGACAGGAGAAAGAGAAAGGACACAGGAGATAGGAGACGGGGACAGAGATAGGAGACAGAGAAGGGAGACAGGTCAGACAGGCTCATATCTGATTAGATCAGACAGCAGGAGGTCGATTATAAACTTGAACCAGCTCTCTGTTCACATCTTTTGTTCTTCCATCTCTCCGTTGTTCTGTAAAATGTAGAATGAACTAAAACATTCTGTCACATCCCTAAAGACTTTAAACCAAGATAGAGGATCGTATTTGAGAGGTCCCTGAACGCCCCTCTTCATTCTGTGTCTCGGTCTCTTCCTCTGGTGCCACGCTGTGACCCGCACAGCTGCACAACACCACAATTATATCAATGGAGCGAGGGACTCCTTAAAGGGCCACGCCACCCGTTTGAACTGAGATCAATGTGGATCCACAGTTTGTCAATGTTTGCACACAGAGATGAAACATTTGCATCAAGACAAATTTTACTCAGCGACAGTTAGCGAAGTGCTGATCAGACTGACCTGAAATATTTCTTACATTTCACTGACTTTCATCTTAATCATGATAAAAAGGTTAGTCACTTTAAAGACTTTACATGAAGCATTTTGTGGCTCCAAAAAATCAAAAAGAAGATTCTTATTTGACATCATCGCCTGATATGACAACTAATCTGGAGGATTCTGAGTTGAGGTTAGCTAACATTTACATGCTTTTAAATGTTAGCTATATCATCCTTCAGCAAAAGTGAACTTTTCCCCAACAGAAGAGAAGCCATGTACTTAAAAAAAGTTCAAACTGATCTCTGTACTGTACCTTGTCCCTGGGACAGCAGGACTCGAATGACCTGAGAGCAGCGCTTAATGGAGAGGTTTAATCCTCAGGGGACGGAGATTTATACAGAAAAACATCCAGTGTGTTTGTTCACACACACAGAGAGAGAGAGAGAGAGAGAGAGAGAGAGAGAGAGAGAGAGGAAAGTCTGCCTCTCTCTCTGTACCAGCCTCTCCGATCGCAGGAGGCCTCGACGCCTTCACACAATCCACCATTCACTGTCACCACACACACACACACACACACACACACACACACACACACACACACACACACACACACACACACACACACACACACACACACACACACACACACACACACACACACACACACACACACACACACACACACACACACACACACACACACACACACACACACACACACACACACGAGTCCCGCACATGAGAAGAACACACCAGGTCAAGTCTGTCGAGTTCCCTCCAAGCAGTAAGTAAAAAGCTGAACAATGTAAATGCATATTGTGCTGAAATCTGCAGTTCCTCCAGTGTCCACTAGAGTCAGTCTCCTGCAGTGAGTCAGTCCCCATAGAGCCCCATGTTAAAATGTCCAACTTTACAGCTGCAGTTCCTCCAGTGTCCACTAGAGTCTGTCTCCTGCAGTGAGTCAGTCCCATAGAGCCCATGTTAAAATGTCCAACTTTACAGCTGCAGTTCCTCCAGTGTCCACTAGAGTCAGTCTCCTGCAGTGAGTCAGTCCCCATAGAGCCCCATGTTAAAATGTCCAACTTTACAGCTGCAGTTCCTCCAGTGTCCACTAGAGTCTGTCTCCTGCAGTGAGTCAGTCCCCATAGAGCCCCATGTTAAAATGTCCAACTTTACAGCTGCAGTTCCTCCAGTGTCCACTAGAGTCAGTCTCCTGCAGTGAGTCAGTCCCCATAGAGCCCCATGTTAAAATGTCCAACTTTACAGCTGCAGTTCCTCCAGTGTCCACTAGAGTCTGTCTCCTGCAGTGAGTCAGTCCCCATAGAGCCCCATGTTAAAATGTCCAACTTTACAGCTGCAGTTCCTCCAGTGTCCACTAGAGTCTGTCTCCTGCAGTGAGTCAGTCCCCATAGAGCCCCATGTTAAAATGTCCAACTTTACAGCTGCAGTTCCTCCAGTGTCCACTAGAGTCAGTCTCCTGCAGTGAGTCAGTCCCCATAGAGCCCCATGTTAAAATGTCCAACTTTACAGCTGCAGTTCCTCCAGTGTCCACTAGAGTCTGTCTCCTGCAGTGAGTCAGTCCCCATAGAGCCCCATGTTAAAATGTCCAACTTTACAGCTGCAGTTCCTCCAGTGTCCACTAGAGTCAGTCTCCTGCAGTGAGTCAGTCCCCATAGAGCCCCATGTTAAAATGTCCAACTTTACAGCTGCAGTTCCTCCAGTGTCCACTAGAGTCTGTCTCCTGCAGTGAGTCAGTCCCCATAGAGCCCCATGTTAAAATGTCCAACTTTACAGCTGCAGTTCCTCTAGTGTCCACTAGAGTCTGTCTCCTGCAGTGAGTCAGTCCCCATAGAGCCCCATGTTAAAATGTCCAACTTTACAGCTGCAGTTCCTCTAGTGTCCACTAGAGTCTGTCTCCTGCAGTGAGTCAGTCCCCATAGAGCTCTATGTTAAAATGTCCAACTTTACAGCTGCAGTTCCTCCAGTGTCCACTAGAGTCAGTCTCCTGCAGTGAGTCAGTCCCCATAGAGCCCCATGTTAAAATAAACATGTTTACAGCCTGGTATACAACTCACCTGTTTACATTATATTAAGGCTTAAAGGGATGTAGAATTAGGGGGCGTGGCCTCCTTACAGTGGGTATGGAAAGTATTCAGACCCCTTTACATTTTTCACTCTTTGTTTCATTGCAGCCATTTGCTAAAATCAAAAAAGTTCATTTTATTTCTCATTAATGTACACTCAGCACCCCATCTTCACAGACATTTTTTTGCAAATTTATTAAAAAAGAAAAACTGAAATATCACATGGTCATAAGTATTCAGACCCTTTGCTCAGTATTGAGTAGAAGCACCCTTTTGAGCTAGTACAGCCATGAGTCTTCTTGGGAATGATGCAACAAGTTTTTCACACCTGGATTTGGGGATCCTCTGCCATTCTTCCTTGCAGATCCTCTCCAGTTCTGTCAGGTTGGATGATGAACGTTGGTGGACAGCCATTTTCAGGTCTCTCCAGAGATGCTCAATTGGGTTTAGGTCAGGGCTCTGGCTGGGCCAGTCAAGAATGGTCACAGAGTTGTTCTGAAGCCACTCCTTTGTTATTTTAGCTGTGTGCTTAGGGTCATTGTCTTGTTGGAAGGTGAACCTTCGGCCCAGTCTGAGGTCCTGAGCACTCTGGAAGAGGTTTTCTTCCAGGATATCTCTGTACTTGGCCGCATTCATCTTTCCTTCAATTGCAACCAGTCGTCCTGTCCCTGCAGCTGAAAAACACCCCCATAGCATGATGCTGCCACCACCATGTTTCACTGTTGGGATTGTATTGGGCAGGTGATGAGCAGTGCCTGGTTTTCTCCACACATACCGCTTAGAATTAAAGCCAAAAAGTTCAATCTTGGTCTCATCAGACCAGAGAATCTTCTTTCTCATAGTCTGGGAGTCCTTCATGTGCTTTTTGGCAAACTCTATGCGGGCTTTCATATGTCTTGCACTGAGGAGAAGCTTCCGTCGGGCCACTCTGCCATAAAGCCCCGACTGGTGGAGGGCTGCAGTGATAGTTGACTTTGTGGAACTTTCTCCCATCTCCCTACTGCATCTCTGGAGCTCAGCCACAGTGATCTTTGGGTTCTTCTTTACCTCTCTCACCAAGGCTCTTCTCCCACGATTGCTCAGTTTGGCTGGACGGCCAGGTCTAGGAAGAGTTCTGGTCGTCCCAAACTTCTTCCAGTTAAGGATTATGGAGGCCACTGTGCTCTTAGGAACCTTGAGTGCTGCAGAAATTCTTTTGTAACCTTGGCCAGATCTGTGCCTTGCCACAATTCTGTCTCTGAGCTCCTTGGGCAGTTCCTTCGACCTCATGATTCTCATTTGCTCTGACATGCACTGTGAGCTGTAAGGTCTTATATAGACAGGTGTGTGCCTTTCCTAATCAAGTCCAATCAGTTTAATTAAACACAGCTGGACTCCAATGAAGGAGCAGAACCATCTCAAGGAGGATCAGAAGAAATGGACAGCATGTGAGTTAAATATGAGTGTCACAGCAAAGGGTCTGAATACTTATGACCATGTGATATTTCAGTTTTTCTTTTTTAATAAATTTGCAAAAATGTCTACATTTCTGTTTTTTTTCTGTCAAGATGGGGTGCTGAGTGTACATTAATGAGAAATAAAATGAACTTTTTTGATTTTAGCAAATGGCTGCAATGAAACAGAGTGAAAAATGTAAAGGGTCTGAATACTTTCCGTACCCACTGTAAGTGACAGGTGGGAGCTGCTAGTTGTCTGCTAGGTGTCACCTCAGCTAACACAGTCCCTAACCTTTGACCTCTGGGCCGCGTTTGAGCCTTTTGGAGATTTGTCCCTGTAAATATCAGACTAATAATCTGTCTCTCTCTGTGAGCTTTATTAACTTTTTTAACAGACCGTCCAACAAGTGTGACCTCCACTTTTTACAACCGGTCACATCAGAACTTTATTTTATTTACATGTTAGCAACAGTTAGCAGCTAATCTGAGTCTGTGAGAAGCACACCTGTTAGCGCGTTGCTTAAGGCCAGACATGCTCCGTTAATTTCAGTCTGATAAATAAGGATTGAGCCTTTAAGAGGTCATAGTTTGTGTTACTTTGATAACCCCCTCTCTCTGAATTTAACAACAGTTGTGAGTAATTCTTCCACATCTGTCGGCTAAGAGGTGCTCATAGTGGATTAGTGTTTGATTCTCATTTAAAGTGTTAATCTCCATTAAGAAGATTGACTCTGCTGCTCTCTTTCCTTAGACACACACACACAACGTCCACTGTCCCATGACACTGAAAGTCTAAATTAGTGAGTGTGTGTGTGTGTGTGTGTGTGTGTGTGTGTGTGTGTGTGTGCGTGTGTGTGTGCGTGTGTGTGTGCGTGTGTGTGTGTGTGTGTGTGTGTGCGTGTGTAAACTCACTGTCTGAGCAGCTGGCGTCCTTGTTTCCAGCTGAGCTGATGGCTGCTATTTGGAGGACTGGGAGCCTCGCTCTCATTCCCATCATCTGAGAGCGCGAGAGAGAGAGAGAGAGAGAGAGAGAGAGAGAGAGAGAGAGAGAGAGAGAGAGAGAGAGATATATAGAGAGAGAGAGAGAGAAAGAGAGACATAGACAGAGAGATTGAGTTCTCAACATGTTTCTATCCATCCATTTATTCCCAAAGCGGGGGAGTCCATTTGTTGGTTTCCCCAGACTGATTTTGCAGCTCCTCTTGGGAGACCCTGAATAGTCCCCACATGGGATCATGGGATATGTAATCTCCCAATGTCCCCTTATGTTCCACAGATTTGTCCACAGGGGGGCGCCCAAGAGGCACTGTGATCAGATCCTTGATCGCCTCTTTATAAACTCAGGGGGGGTTAAAGAAGCAGAAAACAAGGAGCTCTTTCCACACTGTCTTCAAAGATCTTTGTGCTATATTAAGAGGAAATAGGCTGAAAAATGTGTGGAAGTGCAATAAATTCCAGTTCCTAAAGTAAGTTCCTCAGAACAGCTCCTTTACCGTTATAACTTCCTGCTTTACTTATTTTTATTTACCCCAAGCACTAACCAAAATCTTTAATTTAAGACAATGCATAACTGCAGTTCCTCCAGTGTCCACTAGAGTCTGTCTCCTGCAGTGAGTCAGTCCCCATAGAGCCCCATGTTAAAATGTCTAACTTTACAGCTGCAGTTCCTCCAGTGTCCACTAGAGTCTGTCTCCTGCAGTGAGTCAGTCCCCATAGAGCTCTATGTTAAAATGTCAAACTTTACAGCTGCAGTTCCTCCAGTGTCCACTAGAGTCTGTCTCCTGCAGTGAGTCAGTTTGGGTCTCTAGAGCTCATTTCTCTCTTCACCTGTACGGGCTGAATGTTTATACAACTCACCTGTTTATGTCATATTAAGAGAGAGAGAGAGAGAGTGTCTTGATTGGCCCAGATAAAAGCTCTTCAAGTGTAAATAAGGACATATTTTTAAACTAAGAGAGAGAAAGCGTCTCACCTGAATCGTAGCTGGGGGGTTTGATCTCTCCCTGGTTCAGCTCTGTCCCGTATTTCAGTTTATGATATTTGGCCCTGAAACAGACACACAAAGAAACAAACATATGTCACAAAAGAAGGATGTTTAATGGACTCTTTCAACGTTACATGCTCCCGTCAGATGGGGATTCAAACCAGGAACCTCCTCCCTGTGACGGGACAGCGCTAACCACTGGACCACAACCCTAACTATGTCATAAAACAGTTTGATAAATGAGCTCTCTGGGGTGTGATGCAACCAGCAGATTGGTTTAATATGTTAATGAGGGGTTTGAGTTTTCACACAACCCCCCCCCACCCCCCCCTCTTGCACACGCTTCAGTGAACATCATCCAGACCTGCCAATCAAACACTCAGACAACCAAACGGAGTTAATCAGATTATCTCTCATTGTGCCATAAGAGGATCAGCTGCTCTGCGAGGTGGACGGATCGATTTCACACCGACGGGCTGATCGGAGGACAAACATCAGATTATAAACTCTGCTGTGTTTTCACCGTCTGAGGTCATTTTGTGGTCTCAGCTTCAGTTTCACTCAGAACTCATCACCAACAGGGTCGCACTGGGAGACATGTTGAACATAAAGGTCCAATCAGTGAGATGTGTAGAGAGTGAGATGATAAAGGTATCTTACTCTCTGATCATTAAGGAAACATGCTATGTTGAAGTGCTGGCTTCTCTGACAACAATGCAGCAGCCAGTATGTCCTCCTTCTAACTTTAGATTCTGCTCCTGAATGCTCTGGATTTGTTTGGACCAGAGAAGGTAGGCGCTTTTAAGACACGCCCCCACACGGCCGTTTTGGACGCCCCTCGGTTTGCCAGATATGAGAGCAGTTATCAGGTCAACAGGTGTTGCAGCGATGGAAGCGGTCAAGAGAAGTGGTTCAGATAGAAGTGATTGTACCCGACCTAAAAAGTGCTTCTTGAAAATCTTTCATCTTCTCTGATTGGTTCTGTTGACATCACTTGAGCTTGTTTTCAAAGAAGGAGTATAATAAGTATTGATTGACAGCTCTGTCGACCAATGAGGCTCCTGTGTTGCTGTTTGCACCGGATGATCAGAGTGGAGGAGCGATGGTGAGAGCTGAGGGACCTTTGACCTTTCATGTGTCAGTTTAACGCGCATGTGTGTGTGTCTGTGTGTGTGTGTGCGTGTGTGAGTGTGTGTAAATGTGTGTGTGTGTGTCTGTGTGTGAGTGTGTGTAAATGTGTGTGTGTGTGTGTGTGTGTGTGTGTGTGAGTGTGTGTAAATGTGTGTGTGTGAGTGTGTTTGAGTGTGTGTAAATGTGTGTGTGTGTGTGTGTGAGTGTGTGTGAGTGGGTGTAAATGTGTGTGTGTGTGTGTGTGTGAGTGTGTTTGAGTGTGTGTAAATGTGTGTGTGTGTGTGTGTGAGTGTGTTTGAGTGTGTGTAAATGTGTGTGTGTGTGTGTGTGTGTGTGTGTGTGTAAATGTGTGTGTGTGTGTGTGTGTGTGTGTGTGTGTGTGTGTGTGTGTGTGTGTGTGTGTGTGTGTGTGTGTGTGTGTGAGTGTGTGTAAATGTGTGTGTGTGTGTGTGTGTGTGTGTGTGTGTGTGTGTGTGTGTGTGTGTGTGTGTGTGTGAGTGTGTTTGAGTGTGTGTAAATGTGTGTGTGTGTGTGTGTGTGTGTGTGTGTGTGTGTGTGTGTGTGTGTGTGTGTAAATGTGTGTGTGTGTGTGTGTGTGTGTGTGTGTGTGTGTGTGTGTGTGTGTGTGTGTGTGTGTGTGTGTGTGTGTAAATGTGTGTGTGTGTGTGTGTGTTCACTCACCTCTCCTGTTTGAGGGCGTACTCCAGCATCTTGATCCGTCTCACCAGGTCTTTCTTCAGGTTCTCCTGACCGCGTCTCTCGCCCTGCAGGAAGGCGATCTGAGCCTGCGAACGACAACGAGAGAAAACAGAATGAGTTCAGATTAAACTCTATTCTCCTCTAAAACCGCTCGTACAGATCGAGTCCCCGCCACGTCTCCTGTCAAACGCCAAAGTTTAGTAAATCACACGAGGCTGAAGGAGAATCAGAGACTGAACAGAGAGCGTGGAGGAGATTAACGGAGGGTCACTAAAACAGAGGCTGATGATGAGTGAGCGCACAGACTCTAATCTTTGTTTCTGTAATTATCAAATGCTCCGCACTGACGATCTAATTCCCCCTCAGAGATCATTAAACTTTCAGACGGTTTAATTCTGTTTGCTTTGTCTCCAGAGGCTCAGAGGCTGTGTGTTTGTGTGTGTGTGTGTGTGTGTGTGTGTGTGTGTGTGTGTGTGTGTGTGTGTGTGTGAGCCTGCTCTCATGCACCTCCGTAAGAGGGGGCGTTGGCGTCGTTACAAACTCACAAACAGGGGTATTTCGTAAAAACTAGAAACTCTTTTTTAGTTATGAAGAGAGTTAGAAAAAGAAGAGCTTCTACTCTATGTAGAAAAACATGTTTCCTACCTGATCTCTTCTGAAAAAGAAATAGTCAAAGGTTGATGAGTTAAGTTGATTCTTTATCCTGCATGAAGTCATGGGTGACATGTGCAGAGACATGTTGTCTTTTAACTTTGACTCTGGTTAAGGTAAACCCATTATTAACTGCTTACTTAAGTTACAGATTATTATTATATATATTATATTATTATATTATTATATATATGATAAATACAATTGAATTTGAACTTAGTGCTGTTGGGCCACGCAGGCTTAGGACAGTCAAACAATGGACTTGGGCCTGCACCTCTGTAAAAGCCTCATTTGAGTTATTCACTGAATAATAATAATACATTTTATTTAAAGGCGCCTTTCAAAACTCTCAAGGTCACCTTACAGAGCAGAGATAAAAACAACACTCTGAGATCACAAAGAGGCCTAAAAGGACTCTTAATCCCAGAATCCCCTGCGGTACTTCACACCTACGCGTGAAGTAAGGGGGGACCGGAACCTCTCTCTCCTCATTGGAGGGGACCTGAGGTAGACCCCCCATGGAGCAGGCCAGGCTCCAAAACTCTGAGACTTCCATTGTTCTTCCTCTTTCCACGCAATGACTTCAAGTGTTCGGAGACCCAAGAAGATCTCCTGTTTCCTGCAACCATCTTCCTTTGTTTTAAGTTTTTGGCGCGCAGGTAATCCGCGGCTGGCAGTGTTCTAAATTCCGAGCTCGGACTGTCCAGTGAACGCATCTCAGTTTCTCGGAGAGCATCAGACTATAACAGATTATCAGAAAGATAACGGTCTTATTCCGTCCTGCAACGAAAGGACATCAAAGGACATCTTTCCACTCGACAGAGAACATAACGAAGCCGCTCTCGCCGTAAGGGACCCTCGCCGCCATCAGACGCCTCTGCACCAGGACGGACAGAAGATCTGCTCCATCGCCGGACTCTTTTCCTTTCACCAATCGCGGACAAAGCGATTCACAAGTGAGGCTTAATTAGGTCTGGGCAGAATTAGCTTTAGAGAGTGTTTTTAACAATTGTTGATCGAAGCAGAAACTGTAATTTTTATCTTTGTTGGACCTGCGTCCTGAGTTTTAACTGTTCAAAACTCTTGTTGTTGTTTCGGACCGCTGCGTCCTATATGTGTTTAGTGTAACAGCGTTATAACCGGGTATTACTCTTCTGATCAGAAAGGCCAGTGTAAGCCGTATTAACCTGAATTCGGCTATTGGTTTGTTTCTGTGAATGAAGGGAATTACTCCGAGTTGTGGCGCTGGAGTCGGACTGTGATCCGGCCTCTTCAGGCACGCATTTCTCTTTTATTCTCTTTTATTCCCCCTCTACGAACATACACACATATTCCCGTGTAAACGTACATCTGGAGACCAACTCCACCACCGCGCCATTACGCACAGAGATCTATACACTCGCGGCTATCCAGACGCCTCAGAGACACAGATTGTGTAGGGCCGAACTCGGTCTCTTTTAGACCTTAAGGCCACATTTAGGCCTTTGTTAGGTGTGCGCCATCGGAAGGGTGACCACGTGTAATCTCCCCCTTTTCCCCCTCCTCTCTCTCTTTCATTCTCACGCGCGCGCACACGCGCACACACACACACACCTACATTCACACCCCTTCCACAAGCCTTTGCTTGATAATGTTTGTTGCTTAGATTAGTTTATAACAGTTATTTGTTTAATTAAGTTCATTGATTTTGGATTGATGTTGCTTTGTTTAAATAAATTCTGTTATAATTTAAGAGAGCAGTTGTTTGTGGTTACTGGTGTATTTGCATTGTGATATAAGCTGGGTGCGAAGGCTTTGTGTACGGATTTCACGCCTTCAATTTATTAAATATAGTTATTCATTATTAATAATATTAGTAATTAAATAACTAATTTGAGACTGATTTGAGTGATATTTTGGTTATATTTACCTGAGTACAGGTTGGTGCCCCAAAACGAGATTAAACATAGTTTAATGATATTTTATTTATATTATTAATAATTAAGTATAATTATTAAAGAATATAACCAAAGTTGACTTGATACAACCCCAACAAGTGCACTGCTCTAAACAATATGTTAAGCTAATATTGAATAGAGATAAATCCTGGATGAAGTCAAGCTTCTTGCTGATACTACAGTCCTTGATATTAGTGCATTCTGACAGGTCACATCTGATTGCAGGTTAAACATTCTGTTTAAATATCTCTGTACAGCCCGGCTTTAGGATCACAGATGTTTTTCTATCAAGAGACCAGCTCTGTAGACATTTAAGATAATACTGAATACAAATTAACCCAAAAGGAAAAGTTCAATCCTGAAGCATTCATGAGGTGAAAGCCTGGGTAGGGTACACCCCCGAGTGTGTGTGTGTGGTTTTTGTGGATGAAGGAGATGGTGTGTGATTTCTCTGAGGGGAAGTGGCTGTGAAGGCTGAAATAACTCTCAACAATCACAAACAGCTCGCCCTCCGTCCCTCTGTCCAAACATCCGAAAACAACCGAAAACAAACCGACTCTACTGAGAACATCTCCAGCGCTCGGTGACCTGCCGATCAAACGCTCTCTATATGACACTGTGATGAACTCTGGACAGTTTTCCCTCCACAGAGATCAGTCTTAGAGCTGAAATAACCACGGCAACAGCTGGACGTTTGCAGCTTCAAATCGACGTCGACAGCAAGAAAGAAGCGGTCAAAGGGGGGCGCCGGTCTTGGTCTCAAGACTTTTTGAAGTCTCTCTCTCGTCTCAGAATCGAAAGCATTTTTTCCCGGTCTAGTCTCGGTCTCAGGTTGGGCAGACTCTGGATTTTAAATCAAGATTAGATGGAAAACGCCTCTTTTTAAAAGAATTATAAACATTAAATTGCATTTAAAAAAATAAAAATTGGCTGAGGCGATGCCCGCCATGTACGGAGGCGATAGTCCTCCAAGCGGGCGGCCCCAGGTTCAAATCCGACCTGTGACTCCACTCTCTCTCTCTCTCCCTGGTTTCTGACTCGTCCTGTCTCTACAATTAAGGCACAAAATAGAAATTCTGCAACAACAGGTGAAGAGGTCAAGTGGCCCCAAAGCCTGCTGGGAAATGGAACACTGATTGAAAGGTAACTTGTGACCACCTCTGCGTCTCCTAGGTAGCGTGGGAACAGACGACATGTGACCCGCAGAGGTCAAAGGTCAAGCGATGTGAGCGGATTAGTAAGCGTGGTAAACTTCAATATGTCCTCTCTCTGCGTTCGTCCTTGGATGTTACTTCACACTTCATGTAAACATCCAGATGTTAACCAGCACACACACGCACGCACGCACGCACGCACGCACGCACGCACGCACGCACGCACGCACGCACGCACGCACGCACGCACGCACGCACGCACGCACACACACACACACCAGCGTCTCTTTTTACTTGTTTTTAAGGAGGAGAGAGCGTTGTCAACAGACTGTTGTCATAGCGACAGGACGGAACTGCAGCACTTTCACTCTCAGCGCTATAGGTGGACACCGGGCCTTACACGTTCTCAGCACGTACAGAAGACTTCCTGTTACCATGGTTACCAACACTACACGTCACCTCTACAGATAATAACACACTTCTACGGCTTTCACGCCTGCACAAAAAAGTTTTCACGCTGAGCTCTGTGTGATGGCTGATGTTAAACGAGTGTTTGTGTAGGAGGTCATCACAGCAGCGCGCACGTGGGGGGGGGGGGGGGGTGTTTAAAGGCTTCAGCTGTCTGTCACACAACGAGGAGGAGGAGGGTGAAACAAATGTGGACCAGAGGTCAGAGGTCACTGTGACACCTCTGTACGTCCACCATCGACCGTCCATTAGCCTCAGCGCTTTGATTACCCACAATGCTCTCCTCCTCCGCTGCGGTCGCGTTGTTTCAGCTCCAGTTAGTCGGATATGTTAAACAGGTCGGAAAGTTCACTCTGCTGACGCTCTCACAGGTCTGACTCCAGAGGACGAGAACACACTGATGCTCTAACGAGCTCCGGTGACTAACAGCTGTAGAGAAAATGAACCACGACGGGAAGAGGAACTGTCCTCACCACAAACTGGGTAACCCACTTGTTAAAAATTCCCATCAGCCCCTGCTTCTTTTTTAAGACGGACTCAGAGCGCCACATCGGATCACAGCGAGGAGGAAATATGCAAATGAGCTGCTTTGATTTAGTCAAAACTTCACCGACACGAGGACGTCTAAATCAGGACACTTTGGATTCATCAGTTTAGAGTGAAATAAATCTGTCTGATGAAACTCAAGGTTTCCTTTACGCCATCCAACACTTTAAAGTGTGGCGTGTTTTAAGACGATGCAATCTCCGATATTTATACAATTCATTCATCAAACGCTTCTATCTAAAGTGACGAGTAAGAACAACACGAGAGAGAGAGAGAGAGAGAGAGAGAGAGAGAGAGAGAGAGAGAGAGAGGAGGAGACAACGACAGGAAGTGCAAACAAAC